TTGCCGTTCAAATTATGAACAAGGCTTCTGAAATGACGAAATCGAGGGCCGAACCTTTGGAGGATTCCGAGTCGAAGAGTTTGAAGGATCAGAAGTCTATAAAGTCCACTCGACGACGATCAGTCGGAGGCAGACCTGCAACGTTCCATTCTGCCAGCTCCAGTTCACATCAAAAACCCGTTGTTGAGACAGAAATTGGGAAAATCCAACAGTCAACAATCATGAAAAGGGAGGAAATGACAGCCCAGATTGATGGAGTTCGGGTTATTCTTATCGGGGACTTGCACGAACTACCTCTTCTTGACTGGAGTGTGAAACAATTTAACGTCGACGTTCGAGATTGGTCTACCAACATGAGTGCAGATACCTCAGTCGACACCTTCCTCAATGTGTACAATTTTTCAAAGTCGGTTTGGGAGCCCCTAATTGAGCCGTGGAAATTCGGATTCCACATGTCGAAGGAAATAAATCCAGATGTTCTATCCATCGAAGCTTTTTCTCATAAGAACATGGAACTCACGATTACATCTGCGACTATTGCTTTAGCGTCAAAATCTTTCCAGTTCCTCTCCACTGAGGAGGATGTCCTGTCGAAACCCCGGGGAGCTGATGCGCCGTATAAACTGCGTAATTATACCGGGTTCGACCTGAGAGTTTGGGCTGATACTGACAAAAGCGGAGAAGGGCATGCCAGGATGCTGAGTGATGGTGAAGAATGTCCCTGGAGATTCGAAGATGCGACTGCGATGCGGGAGAACCTCTCACCAGAAGCCAACGCTGGCATGGTCGGTATTAAGCTCGAGGGAAGTGGGTTCGATGCAATTAACAGAATTACTGTTGTCCGCGAAGGCGAAACGTTATATAACTTAAAACCAAAGAAGGAAAAAGTACTCCACAAGCTCGTCGTTGAAGTTGTACTGGGGGCGGACAACGTGAAATATATCACCTTACGTTCGCCACTACTCGTGGAGAATAAAACACAAATTCCAGTGGAATTAGGTGTGTTTAGTCCTGAAGATGGACACCTCCTCAAGATCGAGAAGATTCTACCTGGCGATGCCCGGCCTGCTCCTGTAGGAGCTGCTTACATGCATTCTTTAGTGGTTCGACCTGACCAGGGATTCGGCTACGACTGGTCGAACGAGAGGCTCTTCTGGAATGATCTACTGAAGAGGCCCACCAGAACACTCAGGTGCAATAGCGAAAACGGACAGCAGGCCCCACCATTCTATTTCCAAATGAGTGCAAATTTTGATACCAAGGATCCTATCCTTAATGTTTATCCATACATGAGAATCCGCGTTTCTGCCCCGATCGAGATCCAGAATCTTCTCCCATACGACTTCAAGTACCGCATCTATGACAAGAATACCCGGAAAGATTGGACAAACTTCCTTCGAAAGGGTGGCATCAGCCCTGTACACGTCGTTGAATTGTCTCATCTATTACTCCTCAGTGTCGATTTGCAAGACACGGCCTTTAGACACTGTGAATTTGCTATAATAAACGGAAATGCGCAGGAAGACTTCCGGAGGGAGTCGATCCTTACAGTCCAGGATGACTCCGGTACGGAATTACGGCTTGGTCTGCATTATTTTACCGTTCCAGATAGCGGAGGGGCCTTTAAGGTTTCGATATTCAGTCCTTATCTGATATTAAACAAGACAGGACTAGATCTTAACCTCCAAAGCAAGAGCATGTTCCAGTCGACAAAATCCGCTGGGCAAGCTATCAGGACAGATGGACGCAGTGGCGTTCGGAGGGCTTTGCCATACATGTACTCCTATCCTACCGTGGATCGCAGAAACAGATCTATTCTACGGGTCGAGGGTTCTTCATGGAGTAAGCCCCAAAGTTTTGAGGCCATAGGGAGCACATTTGAAGCCATTCTACCTGCTTCAAACGGAAGGGCCGAGTACCATGCTGGCATTACCGTCGAAGAAGGCGAGGGGAAGTATAAACTTACGAAAGTGGTCACTGTGGCGCCTCGTTTCGTCCTAAACAACAAGCTGAATGAAGATCTGATTGCTCGCGAACCAGGCTCCCCAAACGTGATCAGCCTCCGAACGGGTGATTTAGTACCACTTCACTTCTTGCGACACGCTCCCCAAAAACAACTTTGCTTATGCTTTCCCGGTGTAAATAACCAGTGGTCTTCTCCTTTTAACATATCGGATCTAGGAGCTATCCATGTGAAGCTGGCCAGGGCCAACCAACGCCAGAAGCTCATCCGAATAGAGGTTCTCATGGAAGCAGCCACAATATTCCTCCATATCATTAGCGAAACTTTACATTGGCCTTTCTCAATGCGCAATGAAAGCGATACTGAATTTATGTTTTTCCAAGCTGTAAGTCGCACTCCTTGAAATTTTTGGGGCACAGACACTGCATACTAACACTCCTTGCTAGAATCCTAACCTAGATGAGGATGAGGATTACCGAGAAACTGGCTGGCGTCCAATCCGATATCGCCTCCCCCCTAGAAGCATCATGCCTTACGCCTGGGACTATCCGGCTGCCAAAAACAAGTCGCTTGTTCTGTTATGTCGTGGCAAGGAGAGACACATCAAACTAGCCGAGATTGGGAATCTAATTCCAATGAAGATACCACCAATCGAAGAACATGGCCTATCAAAGATTATCGATTTAAATATCTCCGCTGAAGGCCCTACACAAACACTAATTCTGTCAAATTATAAACCATCCAAGAGCATGTACCGCCAGTATCATGCCCCGTCCTCACAGACCAGTATCTCCTCTGGTTTTGAAGTGAAAGATATCAAGTCCGATGTCAACTTCAAAGCACAACTTCGACTAGGTGGCATTGGAATATCCCTTATCAACCAGAAGCTTAAAGAGCTAGTTTACTTCACCTTCCGGGATATCGAATTCAAGTTTAGCGAATCAAAGCTCTACCAAACCGTTGATACGACAATAAAATGGATACAGGTTGACAACCAACTTTACGGTGGCATCTTCCCCATGCTGCTCTATCCAAGTGTGGTCCAGAAAACTGGGAAGGAGATGGAAGCACATCCTATCTTCCATGCTAAAGTTACCCGTGTTAAAGACGATTCATACGGCGTCTTATATATCAAATACGCCACGCTCCTTTTGCAACAGATGACTTTGGAACTTGACGAGGATTTCATTTTCGCGATGCTGGATTTTGTGAAGGTACCTGGTGCGTCATGGTCTGAGGAGAAGGAAGGAAGGCTTTGTGATGCAGATCTAGATATCCCAGAGCCACAACAAGAGGAACACGGCAAAGACGTATATTTTGAAGTCTTGCATCTCCAGCCTATGCAATTAGATCTTTCTTTCGTGCGTACCCAGCGAGTGAACGTTGAGGATACCATGGAGCCGTCTAACCCCCTCATGTTCTTCATCAACGTCCTGACAATGTCAATGGGAAACGTCAACGATGCTCCTGTCCGGCTAAATGCTCTAATGTTGGAAAACGCGAGAGTATCGATGCCTATGCTACTTTCCAGCGTCACGAGCCATTACACCCAAGAATTCCTCCGCCAAATCCACGTTGTTCTCGGTTCGGCCGATTTCTTAGGAAATCCTGTTGGTTTGTTCAATACCGTGAGCTCAGGCTTTGTTGACATATTTTATGAACCGTATCAGGGTCTCGTCATGTCGGATCGACCACAGGAACTAGGGATCGGAATTGCAAAGGGCGCTACAAGTTTCGTCAAGAAGTCTGTGTTTGGGTTTTCGGACAGTATGGCCAAGTTCACTGGAAGTTTGTCGAAGGGCCTGGCGGCAGCAACTCTGGACAAAGAATTCCAAGACCAACGGAGGATGGCGAGAGCGCGCAATCGGCCTAAACATGCGTTGTACGGAGTTACCTCTGGTGGAAATGCATTTGCTCAAAGTATGGCCAGTGGTATTGGGGGCCTAGCACGTCATCCTTTAGAAGGCGCCGAAAAGGAAGGATTACAAGGCTTCGTGAAGGGAATTGGCAAGGGGGTTTTGGGTCTTGCGACCAAGCCAGCTCTAGGCGCCTTTGATCTCGCCTCCAGTAAGTAACAACCCCGATAACCTCTCCCCTTAAAAAAAAATTACCTATATTAACGAACGATACTTTCCAGACCTCGCCGAAGGTGTTCGAAACACCACTACGGTTTTTGATACTGGTGGATTAGACCGCGTCCGTCTTACCCGCTTCATTGGCATGGATGGCATAGTCCGGCCCTACTCACAACGAGAAGCACTAGGCCAGTTCTGGCTTAAAACTACTGACGATGGCAAATATTTCAACGACGACTATCTTGCACATCTCGAGTTCCCGGGCAAAGATATGATGATCATGCTCACGTATAATCGCATTATGCTCGTTCGGTCCAAGCGCCTAACTGCAGAATGGGACATCAAGCTAACCGATATCCAAACCATTTCCAAAGAGAGAACCGGGATGAGTATCACTCTCAAGGGTGGTGCAAATGGCCCTTTCATACCAGTGCAAGACGAGAGCGCAAGAAATTGGCTCTATAAACAGATCGCTATTGGTACGTTTTGAATTCTGGCAAACCGTGCTCCGTGCTCATTGCGTCGCTTTGTTGGTTGGATAACTAACTAACAACATTTCTCTCTTCAGCTGTAAATGCATTTAATGAGAAATACAGCGCCAAGGGATAATTGGGAATCATTTTATTGTAAGGCACTGGCGTTGATGAAAAATGATGTCTTAAAAAGAATTAATGGAGGGATAGTAAAGGTGGAGGGAAAAGGGGGAAAGCAAAGAAGTCCAAATCTACGGAAATAGGAAGCGAGAAGCAAGAGAAGCAAGACGAAGTTTGATGTGCTGTTTTCACACCATTGGCATTGCTTGATTACTGGTTTTAGTAGTATATTTACCCTTGCGCCTTGGTTTTTCCTCCTGATCTGATTGTTTTTACTGCTATTCCTTTTACATAGAGACCCCATCCGCGACTTCGTTACGATGTCATTTCACGTTGAATTTGGCCTTGATATTATGTGTTAATAGAGGGGGGGAAATGGCTAAGTTATATATTCTAGTTACATATTTTCCAGAGATGCATGTACTGTACATGCCAGAAGGGATCGGCTACTTTCAAGATTCGATACCACAAAATACGAGTATATTATGTTGGTTATATATATTGTAGTAAATTGATAGAATCCCAAGATTAAATCTTAAATTTCATTGTTCCTATTGTTGAACGGTCATCCCGCGAAGGAGCTAGCGGCACGGAATAGACAGTTATTCGTTTCTTTTTCATACACTCTAAGATATTATTAGCTAGAAATATCCCCAGAAAACTCCTATTAGAGCAACATTAAATTCCCTCTCCTTTACAACAAGCTGTTCGCACACTGCCCACATGCCCTGCCTGGCTGGGATCATAAATGTGAAGGGTATTAAAATAAAATCAAAAGTCTTGCCTTGAAAAAACGGCTTGATAAGAATGGCGAAGGAAGTTATTTCCCCTCCGCGCGTGCTACAAGAACATTATCTAACCCAAGAGGTTCCCATATGTCTCTCGCCTTCTTATTCTGCGCCCATACCACGTCCCCCTTGAGGTACACCAACACACCACCCTTCCCATTGGCACTCGCCGTAATACGGAATAACGGCAGGCCGCTCTGGACATGTGCTTCGCGCAGTGGGATCATGATAAGTCCCTCATCCGCACACCATTCTTCCACGACGTCTTTGAATGTGGGCTCCTCGATACGCTTGGCAGGTGCTGGTCGGGGTTTGGAGGTAGCTGGGGGTACTTGCGAAGGGAATGGTTTTTGCTTGATATGGTCTCGTAGGTCTCTTTGTTGCTGTCTCTGTTGACTGGTGGATGGTGGCGGCAGTTCTGTCTTTGCCCTGTCACTCAGGTCAAGTGCAAGATTCATCATTTCAAGCCCCCGTTCCCATTCCTCGACTACTTCGTCGACGGCGTTAATTTCATCGGGGACTTGCGACTTCCACCAGGAGAACCATTGGCCAACTTCTTCGTAGTTGGGGTCTGATGTTAGCCAGAGATGGAGCACGGCATGCCATTTAGGGAAGAATTCAGCAGTAAGGAGGAGGGCGATGACGGTTGGTTTGAAATAATCTTTCCATTTCAAGATGTTTTCGAACGGATCCAGGTTCTGGTCCTGTGGGTTCACTTCAAAATCCTCACGGAGGTGTCGGCCTAAACGTGGGAGGAGATGATTTCGTAATGCTGCCTCAAATTCTGAGCCAAGCGCTTCTTTCCAAAATTCAAGGCCTCTAGGAAGCCCCCTATCCAAATCCCAGGTATCCAGTACCACGCGGAATTTTCGTTTTGCGTCTGAGAGGAGGCCCGTTGGCGCTTTAGGGTTTGTGTGTCGTTCGTCCAAGTATCGTAGCCAGTCGAAGAGCCACCATGGAAACTGGGATGCCTGGGATGAAGGCCCATTTCGTTTCTTACTACTTCGTGGCTTCCATTCTTTGATTGCCGTACTGAGTTTTGGGACAATAAGCTGGTCAAGAACATTAGCGTAGATGAATTCGGGCAACACATCTTTCCATGCATCTATCAATGTGGTTGCAGGTGATGGATCCTGCACATCCCAGTCGTTGAGAATAGCGGTTCGGACTCTTGGCAGCCATATAGTATATATCATGGTTTCGTAGGGGGTGGTAGAATGTTTTTGCCTACCATCGCCCTCCTGTATGTTGCGAGGTTTTCGAGATAGGATAGTCTGAAGTCGTTGGAGATTGGAGACCAAATTTGTGGGATCGTTTAGCGGCTCCCATTCTTCCACAGATTCCCTAAAAAGGGGATGAATCGCCGCAACAGCCAGCTCAGAGAGCTCATACTCATCAATTACACTTTCGAATTGGATTTCCAACACTTCCAACCTCTGCGTAATTTGCTCCCATCGTACCGCCAGGCCATCATCAAAACTGAAATTCTCCAACGCTTCCGCAGCGGAAGTTAACGACGACAGTTGCTCGATCTTCGTTTGTTGCGTATCCATCTCTTGTACCACCCGGTCTTCTTCAAGTTCCACAAACTTCCTTCTCTCCGTAAGTGCCTTCCATTCATCTGCAAAAGCTTCAAGGTCATTCCTTGCTCTCCGGGCAATCTTCAGAGCCTCGCTCTCATCCGCGCTCACGAACTCCAGCGGCGTCATCAATCCAGCTGTCGAGGTCAATAGCTTCTGCTCCTTGCCAGTAGCATCTATCAACGACTTGAGGACATTAGGAACCTCCAACCCAACCGTGTCCGCCTCAATCTCGCGCGCAGTTCTAAACTTTGGTTTCGCAGGGCCTCTTGGGGTACTCGTGCCACTCCCACTCTCGTTCTTCCGTTCTTCCTTCCGCCGCCGTCTTACTCTACGCTCCTCATCCGAACTATCTTCCAATACTTCTCCCCTCCTAGCAGCTTCGCGCCTCGCTTCATCTTTTGCTTGCCGCGATTTCTCCTTTATGGCGCCTAAACCAATTCCCTGCGGTCGTAATACAGTTTCGATGGGGGTGAGCATTCCCTGGCCACTGGCGCCCAAGCCTTGACCCTCCTTGTATCCCATCTTAGCCATCATCCGGGCGGCAAATGTATTGCCACTTCCACTAGGTCCGCCCTTCCCTGCCCGGTTCTGTCCTCTGGGACTGGAGCCGCCGCCGTTTGTCCATGCTGGGCGATGGGTCGATTTCGCGTTCATGGTAGGGGGAGGAGATGGGGATTGTGTCATCGTTGAAGGTGCAAATCCGCGAAAACCAAGCGCGGGCTTCACATCCTCCTCATCCTCATCCTCAGATTTGACATCGTTAATTTTCCGCTTCTGACCAGCAAAAGAGGTTCGCGGGGGCCACTCCATGGGGAAGCGACTCTGAAATCTGCTCAGCCAGATTTATTTTTCCTTCCAGGTAAAGTCAGCCATATATAAACAACGTGAGTTATCATTCATATGCCCACATTGTTAGCAATAGAGAAAATCAGCGTCTCCTTCGTTCGATGTCGCTGTATAAATGTTCAAAGTCGAAGCTTGGTTCGACGCTCTTTACGGGAACAAAATAGCTCCGATCCGGTCTCGGCAGAGCTTAGTCATCGCGGGCCCAATGACGTAACTAACCTGCACCACTCGGCATTTACGCTGAGTTTTAATCTGTTGCGAGGCCAAGCCGGATTCGGCAACGCAGCGAAACCTGGACACTTTTAACCGGCTTCAACAACAAACCGACATCATATCTACATCAGAGGCCAACTGGGGCAACATTCTCTTTATATATAGCTCCTGACCTCTGGCCCTTAATCAAGAAAGCAGATATTCCCCCCTTATTTGACTCTCAATTGACCAAATACCAACCATCCCGAATCCCCCGGTTATCAAAACAAACATCAACCATGGCTACCTCCGTCCTTCGCTCCACAGTAGGTGGTGCCCTTCGAGCTGGTGCTGTGGCAGCTCGACCAAATACCGCAGCTATGTTAGGAGCCGCAGGAGCGCGCCCCATTTCAACCAAAGCCACCCTCCCAGATCTAAAATGTAAGCCACAGTCCAAGCGATAAGTTGATCCAACACCTTACTAAAACAAATACCAGATGACTACGGCGCCCTGGAGCCCTCCATCTCCGGCAAAATTATGGAACTCCACCACAAAAAACACCATCAAACCTACGTAAACTCCTTCAATGATGCTGTCGAGAAACTAGCCGCCGCACAAGGAAAAGCAGACATCCAGACCCAGGTGCAACTGCAGGCCCTGACCAACTTCCACGGCGGTGGACATGTCAACCACTCCCTGTTCTGGGAGAATCTGGCCCCCAAGAGTGCCGGTGGTGGTGAACCACCTTCTGGTGCCCTGGGTAAAGCCATTGACGATTCCTTCGGGAGTTATGACGGTTTCAAGTCTACGTTCAACGCAGCATTGGCGGGCATTCAGGGGAGTGGGTGGGCGTGGCTGGTTAAGGATAAGCAGACATCGAAGATTGCGATTAAGACCTATGCTGTAAGTAGTATCCTTGTTTTTATGTACGGGATAAATGATTAAATTGGATCACTAACTATCATTTTCACTCTAGAACCAAGACCCCGTCGTCGGCCAATTCAAACCCCTCCTGGGTATTGACGCATGGGAACATGCCTACTAGTCAGTGCCCCCTCGTCCTTTTCTCCTTTCAATTTCTCCTCACCTCTTCCTCTTCAATCTCCTTATCCAACAGGAGTACAAAACTAACATCTCCACCCACCAGTCTCCAATACGAAAACCGCAAAGCAGAATACTTCACCGCCATATGGGACGTCGTGAACTGGAAGGCTGCTGAACAGCGTTTTGCTTAAACCAAAAGATGAATCTACCTAACTAATTACAACCACTTTCCTGTACAAGACGCTTTTCCTACTAGAAACAAAGAAGAAATTTCATAAATTAAACATGTGCTTAGTTTGGTTCATTTTTGTAGCCAGGGGAGATTGCAAATTGAGCTTTGACCAAACCTGGCAAACCAACCTCTCCTTGCCACGCCAATTGCCCAGCCTGTATGGACATGTATCTATTGTATGTACATTACATATAACATTTTCTCCGATTGACTTCTCTGGATATCATAAAATTCAACAATACTTATGTATCTCTTTTTCAAACCCTCTTAAGATATTTTAAATCAGAAGAAGAAACAGGGACTGAAGGGAGGAGCAGAAAGCAACAGCTCGCACGAAAATGATACATTAGTTTTATGTTATTTACTATCACCCACTACATTCCACTGATGATCCCTCGTCATGTGTTATGGCATATTAATCGTAGAAGAAGAGTGGAAAAAGGAAGAACAACAACACGCCATCCCACCCAACAAACTTCGAGAGAAAAGAGTCCGGAAAACGATATAAACAAATTTAAAAGAACAGAAAAAATTGAATTGGAGCACCACAACCCCCATACCGTACCGCAAGTTCTAACGAATGAATAAATATTATATATAAAGCGAGAGTTGTCCGTGGCATGATCATTGTTATAATTTCAGTTTCCGATCCCCACCAACAAACAACCGCTTTATATACTTTTTATCTTTCATTTGTGGAAAGACGTCAGAAACGACAAAACTATAAAAAGAAACATCCCATCTTGCCAAGCGGATCCCATCGCGTCGTAGTGCATTTTCGCGTTTGTGTTAAAAGTTACATGATGCTTGCTAGATGGGAACAAAAAGACATAAAGAAGAGCACCCCGTAAGAAACGTTCAGACGAACACATAAAGGGGGGGAAAAAAGGAACACGGCAGAAGCAGAAACGGATAAAGGCCAGAGCAAATCAGGACGACTCAATGCTTATCGCTACATGTACTCATACATTTGTACTGTTCAAAGCACAAAAAGGGAAAAGAGAACGGATACAAAAAAAAACACGGTAAAAAAGAACATGAAAGTATGAAAACATAAAAGATATGGGAAGGGGGAGAGAAACCCGTCCCCATTCCCCCAATTCCCTCTCTTCCCGGGTTCCTTAATAATAATAATAAAAACACAATCGGTAACCAGCAAAGGACATTCTCAAGCAAGCACCATAATTCAACCCTTTTCAGACAGCAGGTCTCCACGACCCCCGCCTCTGCGAAAACCTCGACCCCCGCCTCTCGATCCCGCTGCCTTCGGTTTCAGGCGTATAAGCCAGATCTACGGGTGCAGTGGCGTGTTTTTGCATACCGTTGATATAACTTTTGTGGGTATTGTTGATATCCACCTGACGCGCATGGGCGACGGCGTAGGACACTGATTTGGAACTTGTATTGTGGGCTTGGGTTGAGTATGGGAAAGCGGTAGGGGAAGATATGGCGGATGCTACCCTTGTCGCTCCTATTATTTTTGGGCCGGTGGGCGTAGGTGTATTTCTCGCGGATGTGGTAGAGCCGCGGTTGCTACTATGATTATTCTCTTTCTCATGGGTCTGTGTAGGGGTAGTAGTGGAGCTTGTCGCGCCACGCATCCAACCAAATATACCAAGGGAGCTAGGACGTCGTTTGCTCGTCTCGGGCGCCTCTGATGTGCGCGGGCGACTGCCTGCGGCCGTATTGCGTGATGTTGATGTCGATGTCGGTGATTTCAAGGTTCCTGCATCCCCATTTTGCGTGTTGTTGTTGTTGTTGTTGTTGTTGTTGTTGTTGCTGCTGCTGCTGCCATTACCACCGCTACGTCCTGGGCCCAAATCCGCCCTCGCTCTAGCTGGCGGCGCTAGCTCAACAACATGCACACTCTTGCGGCGACTGGTACTCATACGTCGACTCCTGCCGATTTTAGGCGATGGTGCACTATCCCCATCATCGACTGGATCGGACATGGGGGCCGTTTGGCGTTGGGGTGCAGCCGCAGCGGCGGTAACAGCACGGCTAAAGAAGCGGGGTCGGAGACTGAGGCGATGACGGGGTAGCTCCACGTCTTCTGTCTGTGGAGGGTTATTGTTATTTCTGCTACCTTTGATGCGGCTGCGGAGGCTTGTAGGAGATGGGGAGTGGAGATCATCGGGCTTGGATACTGCTTTTATTTTTTCTGATCGCGTTGTTCCTATTGTCGATGTTGGTGTTGCTGGTTCACCAGTGGACAGCAAGGAGGTGTGTTTTATATCTGTGGAATGGGATTTTTTGTGCTGATGAGAGCGCTGGTGATGAAATTTCACCGGTCTGTGACGTTTACCTCCATCCGCCGGTAGCGCTGCTTCTAGCCAGTCCTGGGGTGTCAATGGTGGTGAGCTGGAAATTGACGCCTCATATCGTGGTTCCGAGTGTGTTGATGTCAGGGACGGAGGGTATCTTTTCCTTCTTGCCGACAGCGTACTATCCTCGCCATTGTTCGGAGTAGTAGCACTGATATTGGGGTTCGTATTTTCCCCAGCATAATCCTCACAATCTTGTCTAGCTAAATCCCCACGAAGGAGAAGCTCCGTCCGCTTCGACCCGCCAGCAACATGGTCACCAAAGGTTGGAAAAATGCTTCCAAGATGGTCCCGGCTAGGGTTAATCCCGAGCCGCGAGGCATTGCTCAACGTCTCAATCATCCCGGATAGCGCGGTACTCCCAGTACTTGGTCGGGTGGTAATATCATCCGCGGATCTGGGTCGTCGTAAAGCAATATGACCCCCTGAAAAGTTAGCGAAAGGGCGACCCTGGTCCAAAAGGCTCTTCTCCACAATAATACTCGAATTGGACCTGTTCCTTGCGTCAGGATTAGACGTACTCATCGTATCTGGCGTAGGTGGTAACCGTCCTCCATTAAACAGCGGTCCGTCCAACCTTGGTGTGTCGAATCTGTATGGCTTAACAGGGTGTTTGGCCTGGAATGCAGTCCCAAGGGAGGGCTGCGGCTTCTTTGGAACGGTTTCCGACGTCTCTACTGGAAAATTGTCCCGCCTTTGTCCAGTAGGAGTCTGTGGGTCATCATGAGGCTGAATCCACTGGTCGATCCGCGACATCTTAACGTCCTTTTCTTCCTTCTGCTTCGACGACAGCTCCAATTTGGAAATAGGTTGTGAAAAACTCCTCTGAATCGAGCCAACGCTTGTCACATCAACGTCGTCGAACCGCTTTGACGGCGTAGCTGACGGGTCCAGATAGCTACATTCACTGAGGATGCTAAGTCTAGGCGATCCTGGCTCCGGCGGCTCGTCTCCTGAAACAAAGCTCTCAGTTAGAGATGACGTGCTGAATCCATTCCCTGACGTAGTTTCCTCGTCTGCGGCAATATAAAGACTGCGAAGAGCGCTGGTACTTCCGCTGTTTTCCAAAAGGAATGACGGGTGCTTCCGGGGCCTCCGTGTTGAAGAACATGTTGTCTCAGTGCGGGTTCGCAACGAGCGCGCAGAGCTTGTCCCCTTCCATGATGAGGTGCGATCGGGTATCTCGAAAATGGGCGTGCCTTTTGGGGTCATGCTAGGAGACGGTGCCAGGCCCTCACTTGTGTGGGGGCGAGCAGTCAATGGCCGCTCATCATCCCCGTCGTCGTTAGTTGCTTCCAGCTCATCTAACCTCGCTTCAAGCCGGCATATCAGCTCCACTGCTTCATTGACCGCCTGGTCTCGCTTATCCAGCTCCAAGCGCAAGTGCTCGTTTGACTCGCGCAAACTCTGATTGCTCTCTTCTACTTCGCGTAATTCCTGTAGTTCCTCTTCCACCCCCTGTAGCCGTTGAACCTCCTCTTCTAGAGCCTCCATGCGTTCGAGCTTCTTCTCCAGCGAAATGAGCTGCTGGGATCGATGATAAATCTCCAATTTGAGGTCGAAATTCAATTTGTTCAGTTTGGAAACGTACTGAAGAATTAACAGGTCAGTACGGAGGATGCTACGTTATAGAGTGGATGTAAATGAGACAGCAGAGAAATCCTCACCTGGTTCATCTCTCTTATCCCCATCTCCCTAGGCTCTTTCAACCCAGCGGATAAAACGCTGGTAACTTTCCGTTGTTTCTCCGATGACGAGTCATCTTGAGATGGAGTTATGGTTGGCGTCTGGACTTGGATGTCGCTGGGGTGTTCAGAAACTCCTCTCCGTCCGCCACGGTTGGCACGCTGTTCATTTATCAGGCCTTGGAGAAGGGAGGAGGTGGGGTTGACCAGCGGTGTTGATCTGGCGGAATCGATATTTCCTGCAATAATAGTTTATCCATTTTAATTGGAATTCCTTGTAGATTTTGATTAAGTAGGAAGACCGGGGGGTAAACTCACGTTGTGGGGTATCATAATGAGTGGACGAGGGGCTTGCGGATACTCTCGAGGAATCTAAACCATTACACATGTTAGAATCCCGAACCAAGCAAGTATTTATCACACATACAGTAGTTTTATGCACATATACATACCGGTATAAATGTTGGCAGGGGCATCCTTCGTGTTCCTTCTCTGGGAAACGGACTTGGAGGGATGTGAGTGATCAGGCGTCGAGGGCTCAGCTATCAGCTTTGTCAGTAACGATTGAATGGTTAATAATGAAACAACACATAATTGAGTTAACTGAGACTAACCAGAGAAGTGTCTCTGAGAGCGAGACGCGACTCTGACAGTGGGAGAAGACGCAGGGCCGTTGGCAAGGCGTTGTCTATAGTGTTTTTGAGTCTCCATGTTTGGCAGCTAGGAATGAAGCTCTTTTGTTCAGCCAAGGCGTTTGGCGTTCTATAACAGAGCCGGAATAAGATGAGGGGTCAATCATCAAGTAGGGATGTGAGAATGCGTATATATATATATATATATAAATGAGCGCGCGTATTTTCCTCCGCTTAAAATATAATAGGAGGACGGCTGGTTGCTATCGAAATGGGCAGCTTGTCGTGTCGACGATGGTAGACGAGCAGTCTCAAATCAGAGCTTCAATTGTTGAGAAGGGCATGTCTCCATGAGTCCAGCAGGACACTGACCCGGCCTGGTATTGGAATGTTAGGATGGCTATACAATTTAATGAATGCTAGAGTAGTGGTGAAAGAGGGTTATGTCGGTGGTGGTGGTTGTTGTGTGTGGTGGAGAGGAGGCGGACGACTGTGGGCGGGATTGGATAGGATGACCAAGACTAGCAACGCCTATGGAGACGACAGTCCGTAGAAACGTAAGGAGAGAAAAGTAATGAGAGAGAATAGCAATATCGCTGAGTGGTCAATTGGAGAATTGAGAGGAAAGAAGAGTTGAGTTGAGTGTGATTCAGGGGGAGAAAAGATGTGAGGAGTCAAACAGCGCGTTCGTCCTTCTCGTTTCTTTTCTCCAACGGTGGCTGGTGAGCGCTCGCACAAACACTCGATCGGCAACAGTGACTGGCGGGGAGGAATATCGCAGATAGGATAGGAGAAATTTACTCCAAAATACGCCGTGGAAGGGAAAAAAAAAAAAAATTGTTGCCAAAATAAATAAATTCAATTGCAATGAAGCCTGTCCGCGAAGATTTCCTACTGGATTTTCTAATCCTCTGTCCCCCTGAAAATGAACATCCAACCATTCGACATCACCAGCAGGGAGAGCTTCAAACTAATATTTTAATACAACCAGCAAACTACCATGCGTAAAGCACCACCTGCTGTCTGCAGCCGATCAGACTAGCTTCACCCCATCACAACCCGCCCAGAACAAGTGGAGTCAAACCCCCTGACTGCGCGGCTGTGGAATGGCAAGCAATCATAACAATTATATGCAAGTGAGGAAGAACTAAGTTATCATGTCCTGAAGCAGGATCCTACTCAGTTACTACTCTGTATGGAGTAGTTATTTACTTATTTTATTGGTGTTCTTAACCAGGAAACCATCCTCAGCCTGCGCCCAACCACCCGGTTTGAATAAGATGGGGATGGGGCTACGAGTGTCAGTCTCAACCTCAGTGCGCCTGGACTGGACCTGGGCCATCATCCTTGACGGGATCCCAAGCTTCCCAGTTGGAGGGTTTCGACCCTCGCTCCCCCGCAGTAGTCACGGAACTAAGGAAGGGCAAAGCTAGCCATTTCTTGCCCCAAAGTCAGGGACTTTCAGGGGAAAAGAGGGACGCAAAACGCTGTGTTCTGTTGCACCCCCCAAAGAGCACATGCATTACACCTAGTTTCAGATTATTCATCGATAAAACACCAGGCCTCGTTCGTCAAGTCTACGGAGTGCTCTCTGCTCTGTGACCTCAATTGCATTATCCCCATTCAGAAATTTCTATCAGTATTGGCAGTGGACTTCATCTCAACAAGAAGGACAAATCATGATCATCACCAGCACTCCCGACTGAGTGGCCCAGGGAATTTTATCAGGTGTCTATACGGAGTACTGAAAACTTCATACAAACGCCCCCCCTTTCGGCAATCTTTGTTCATTTTATTAGTGTTTCCACTCACGGTTCTATAATGGTTAAAACTATCCATATCTTCCCCCCGTCTATTTCTTCCTCGTCTCCCCTGACCAGACACGCATCTCTTTCGCACTCCCATGAGCTGCTCGGAATACTATATTTTATTCCCCCATCCCCCCGCCCGGATATAGTTAGAATTAACAGTGTATAACAACATACATAGTAACGCAAGGAAAACAGGGGGAAAGCGAATGGAAACGAAAAAAAAAAAAAAAAAAAAAAAAAAAAAAACCCAACAAATTCCGTGCGTGATGGGTTGACGGGTCCCAGCAGCAAAAGAGGGGGCGTAAAAGTAAAAGAACTATAGACTCAAGAACTATAGACTCACACTGCCTCTCTGTCTCATCCAACCCACGCAGAAACTCCACCCCATCACTCAGTGCGCCGCGCGAGTTATGCGCGTGGTCTGCGATCTCCATCGCGCGTTTCTTGAATGTCTGCGGTGCGTTTTGCATTATATCCCAGTCAATCAGTCAATCAATCAATCAGTCGACAGAAAATTATTGTTCTCCCATACATCCATCCATACATTCGCACCCTCTCTCCCTCCCTTCTTCCCTCTTCCGTAACACACACACACACACACACACACACAAAAAAAAAAAAAAAGAAAAAAAAAAACACTCACCTCCATAAGAACATCAACCATCTCCTCCGCCTCAACAAGCTCCAGCATGCGCACGCCAAGTCTATAGAAGTGCGGCGCGAGGGAGCGCAGGTCGACGGTGCGCGGGTCGGCTTTTAGCGCGTTGAGGACCTTTTCTGAGAGGGCGTTGGGCAGCTCGAGGTTGACCAGGGGGGAGGAGTTGGTGCGGGCTCTGTGCGTATATAATACAGAAGGGGGTTAGGTGAGTAAAGGGAGGGGGGTTGGGGAAGAGGTATGTGAGGTAATTAGGTATTGGGAATAGGGGCACGGCGAATGGGATGGGATGGGATGGGATGGGATGGAATGGGATGAGTAAAGAGAAGAGCGGATGACGAACCCGACAGCAAGCATCTCGCCGAGCCAGAGGGGGAGGTCGATTCGGGTACCTGGTTTTATCTGGCGCGGGATTAGTTGGGGATATCTCCGGCAATATTTTTATATACGCGGTGGCGGGATAGAAGCGTGAGAAGAGGAATTGGGATCCGGTATTGCTTATAGATATCCGGGCGGAAATTGTGAAATCAAGGAGCAATGAGACATAGCCAAAGCCAAAGCCAAAACCAAAGGGTATATATCAAGAAACATACATCCTCCCCAACATTACCATCCAGATAACCCAGCCCTGGAACTTCGAGTTCGAATGTACATGGTAATTTCTTATCGAAGCCGCCGCTCGCTCCGTCAGCACATACTCCGCATTCATCATTCTTATATTAAATTCGCAAACCACTGGGAGGAGGGGTTGGTGGAGGAAAGGATAGACGTATGCCATACCTGAGCATCTGTAAGAATGGCATCTAAGTCATAGTAGGACATGATGACTAGAATATTTGTTTCATATCCTACTCTTCCAACGCATTATGCGGCTGTATGCTGTATGTAACCGGGTTTCAAGCCATGGGATGTCTTCTCGGTTGCGGCTGATTATGATCACGTGGAGATAAGATTAGATCTTCCTCCCTGAAACGCATCGTCTTTACCCTGCAGACCGACCAGATATTTTATCATTATTGCATATATGTACAGAATGTTGTGGGCGTGTTGGTATATTTCAGGACATTTTCTACTGCTCCTCTGTTCTTTCCCTCTGGCTGTTCTTGTTTAACCCAACCAGAGAGACAGTGGCTGATCGTGGATAGAAATCCAGCATACGGACTACATAACAAGATATGTATGTAGATGGCTAAGAGGAGTGAATTAACCCCGAAACGATCTAAGCTCTTGCAAATCTATAATAAATTAAAGCTGAAGATCAATCTGTTTCTCTCATCAAGATAAATGCAGGGCATTAGTAGCTTCTACATATCCCCTATCTATGTACTGTAACCATGGAACATCGATCGATTGATTATCTTTCGAACCCCCCCCCCACCTCCTACAAGTCACATATTCCACAATGATATACCTCGCCGATCACTTCGTTATTTTTTACTACTTTATTTTCATTTTTAATCCTAAGCATGAGTTTGCCATCACATTTCCCTTCAAGAGAGTAGTTCTTAGAATGCTTTATTGTCACCCCTGCCATCGCAAATTCTCCAGTATGCGGTCACTGGATCAACATCGGGAAAATTCATCGCAGCACAACCGCGAGAGATTCCAGAAGTTTTTCAAATCGTCCGATGCCAAAAAGAAGCATATCAAGACCTTCCCGCAACATGGCCTATGTAAGCGCGATTTTGAGACTAAGAAGGCTTCACAGCTGTACCACAAAAGATCTTATCCAATTCCGACAAAACATGATGGAATCTTCGCGACGAAGAGCGTCCCTGTAGGCGATGTTGCGTATGTGGGTATTCCGCCGATAGCTGTGAAGCCAGTGTTTGTTTTGGCGTGTCGCCTTCGCTCAAGCCTACCAAAAGCGTAGCATGACAAAGCTAGATCGTGCCATCGTAAGCTCCATAATCAATGGTGCTCTTCGGCTACCCTACCGCCGCTTGATAACACTCCGGAGGGTATACAATGGCGGCAAGAGAAGCAGAGAATGAAAGAAGAACAGGCTCGACTTGCAGAAACGGAATTCACCAATACGATAAGAAATCTAGGCTACGTGTTTCAAACCGAAGCAGAGCAAAAGGAATCGATGATTAGCCCAACGCCTGACGTTCGCTTTCTGGATCCTATACCCATATCTGGTCACCTCTGCTTTTGGTTGGAGTATAAGAATTATTTTGGTTTTAAAGCGAATCCGTTCATAGCGTCACAGAACAAAACACAGCTCAAGAAATATATCGCGAAAATAGGGCCCGGAGGGGTAGTGTTTAGATTAGGCTTTGAGACAGACCATTTGAATATTAAGGGAGTCAAGGCCTTTCACGAAGAGGATCTGTTACAATGTTTAAGAGCCTCGATATTCAAGGTGGCATGATAGGATGATTAGTATGAACAAAATTGCGATCATGGAGTTCTGTGATTTCATGAAGAGCATCTTCAGTAATCACTTTTTTTCATTTTGGGGGTCATGCCCTTCTGTGTACATACTCAAAAACAATTAGGGATGGTTTTTTAGGAGAGGCAAGGTCGAGGTTAGGCTGGTCTCCCCGTGGCACCATACCTTCTCAAATTACTAAATTCCATCGTGACCAGCAGTATCAGATACTCCCAGCATATGCTCAGGACGGGGTTGTCCTATTTCGTGTGTTTCAAGGCTCAACAGACTCATCTGTCTTTGAAGATTTCATTGAAGAGCTACTTCATCACAGGGACGATACCATGTCGGACAGATCCTACACCGGATCGGATGCTAGTTTCTACTATGAACTCAAAGCGGAATGTCAAGAGCGGAAGATGGAGCTCCAGGAAATAGGAGAACATAACAAGCAAGCAAAGGACAACCAGCAAACTTTTGATCGAGACAGGGAAAGAGAGGTTCAAGAGATGTATGACCCAGTTAAGAAGCAGAGCAAAACACCACTTGAACCCATCACAGGTCACTTCTGTCTATATTCTGTGGAGCACATCGACTATTGCTACAGTTCAGACATGTATTCATCAAAGTATGTCGAGTTCTATTATTTGGATGAGGATGACCATTCGGGCCAGCTCTTGTCACCACAGTAAGTTGTGCACATATATGAACACATCTATTTGAATTCAAACACTGACTGTGGTTTTGAGCTGTTCTTCCCTCCCAAACATACTGGGCTCGAAAAGTTTCAATTGACAAGCATCCGCAGGAAATGTAAACTCATGTTTCAATTTCTCACCAACAACTGTCCGAAACTGGAAATCTCTTGTGAAGGAGTCTTTATGAACAGGAATCCATCAACTGACACACCTGAGGTCTTTAAGTGTGCAGATATCCATTTCGATAGAGAAAAGGGAAGGCAAAAAGGAAGAGGAAACACTCCCCATCCCCACAGGAAACTTGAGACAAACCATTCGGTGGGGTGGTGGAACTAAATCATAAATATGTCGGCTTTTAGCGGCAAAGGATTGCTGTGAAGTACGCCTTGTTATGTTCCAGCCTGCCTACATCAGATTTTGGGTAGTGCTGATTGCTCAGGACACAAACAGGCGACAACGTCTCTCAAGAACGTCTTTCGTCCCCATGTTCACTTGACCACTTGTTCGCCGGTTGTCATGGATACATGTGACATGACTTAACCACCAAAAATATCAGCGCTTACAGGAACGACTTCCCGCCAACCATGGTAGAGGCTTATCGGCGTGTGCGGAATCAAGGCAATAGGAGCCAAAATAGGTGTTTAAAAGTGTGTGAAATACTGGTATGCAAGGATTGACTATTCTTCGAAAAACTCTGTATTCCTATCTACTGCAAATACTAATTCATCGATGACCAAATACAGGAGCTTAAACCTCAGCTTTGTCTTGCTGAATGCAAGGTAGAATCCTAACGAGATCCTAACCCTCAGACCTCCTGTTCGACCAAACAAGCAGACGAACTGACTCTGAATCCAGACTCCGTACCGACTTCCACCATGAGGTCCATCACGTTCAGCTTCGCCCTTCTAGTCGTCCTGCTCGCGGCGCTGTCCGACGCCTGGAAGCTCCAGATCTGGGACAAGAACAACTACAAGGGCACGCGGATCCACTATCGCACCGGAACCATCAGACAAAAGTGCTCGAATCTCGCTTCCGGCTCCAAGAATAGAGCAAACAGCCTCAAGTGGACGGAGAACACGCCTTGCGAAGCTAGATTCTACGACAAGGATAATTGCAAGGGGAAGAAGTTGCTCGAGACCGGCTTCTGGGGAACGTGGAAGGGGAACCTTGGAAAAAATAGCAATAAAGTCAACTCGTACTTGATCAGTTGCTCTACTTGAGTGGGATCCGTTTGCCCCATCGGGGGACAACGACAGGGTGGAATCGAAGTTGACAGGATTGTTGGAGGCGGACACCCCGTACTATATTTTGGGCGGTGTGGGATTGTGTGCATTGGTGATAAAATGAAAGGGGGACGTCAATAGGTTATGTTCTGCAGAGAGAGTACTTGGAGGTAGATCAATATGATGATTCACATTGATATACGGGATCGGGGTGGTCGGTCGGCTGACAACAAATGACGGCGCGGAATCAACGCCAAGTCGGAATTTATTCTTGCATAGGATTGTAGGTTGGGAGCGCGGCAACTGGTAGGGTTCGGTGGTGAGGTCGACAATCCTCAGTTCATTTCACCGAAAACATACTTCTGAACAGCCTACAATCACATCAGCGGAGTAGTAGGTACACCGAGACTCAGTCCTCACCGTACGAAGGACGTCCGTATGTTGCTGCATGCGAGCATAGACCCCTCGATACTGCTCGATGGTTTCGTTAACGACCCGAGTCTTAGTCGTTTGCCCATTGCATATGGCGTTCATCTTTAGCTCCATCTACGCCTGTCATCAGTAGCCCGTGACGGGGATTGATCAAGAACGTTATCTTACCTCCTTGCGTAAAAATGGCTTCATCAAATTAGTCTCGAACCCCATATTCTCGTGACCCTCAACCAAAGCGACCCCCAGCGTCGTGGGTATGAACTCCCGAACACCTGTGATAGCGCCACCGCGGCCAGCACCGCTATTCCTGCCGCCACGACGAGGGGCTACTGCAGTTCTACCTCTACGGCCATTTCCGCCTCTCGCTTGGGCTGGCAACTCCTCGGACTCTTCTTCGTCATTGCCATGCCGCGCCTGCCTTGGCTGAGCTCTGGCTTCGACGTATTGTCGGTCTATAATTGTGACAATATGGTCGGCCATGGTAGCATCAGTGCCGATACCATTCGCGTTCATTAGTGCAAGCAGGTCTGGTTCAGTTAGATATCCAGGTGGTGACGTCTTACCTTCACTGAGAATGGCTTCGGTCGGCTCGAAGACCTCGCCTTTGATGAACGGGGGAAGTTCTTGGTTGCTCCACCGATCGTAAACGTAGACATCGAGATAGTTGCGCTCTAATATTACAAGGCCAGATGCATGGAATGTTTCCGGTCCATAGAGAATAATAATGTCGGTCTTTGACCCCTGGGCGTCTTTGCTGCAGCATGCCAGAAAGCGCCGGACGACGAACTCATGAACACGCTGCTCTTCATGTGAGAGCGTAGTTGGATTGACGAAATTGACCGGGTGGATAGGTGGGTGGGCCTTATCATCATTATGTCCGTTACGGGGCCACGAAAAGCCTCCTTCGACAAGCGCCGTTGCATAATCAGCCCAGCGGCCGCCCTGCGCCTGCTTCTGGACGAGGCCGCGAAGGTCCATACCCCGATCGAACTGATCTGTCTCGGTTCGAGGATAGCTAATCCAACCTTTTTGATATAGCTTTTCTGCAAGCTGCAGAACCTTTTGACTGTCCATTCCGAAGAATCTGCTACCGCACTTCTGAAGCTCTAGAGTAGTCAACGGTAAGGGTTTCCACTTGCTCGTTGGCGTGGTTTTGACCTTTTGGACCTGAGCATTCTGCGAAGTGAGACATCGCTCATAGAGAATAACAGCTGTCCTTCTGTCGAAGAGGTGCTTACGAGCCCAACTAAAGTTCACCCTTGTTCCAGCTTTTCGATGCATCAGTTTGATGCTCCAGAATGGTTCCGGGATAAAATTCCGAACGCGCCAGTAGCGCTCGACGATGAAGCCAAGCGTAGGAAACTGACAGCTCCCGTAGCTGATTAATTGAGAGGCTTCTGACAGATTGCCTCGCTGGAGTACAGGACGAAGGCTCAGAGTGAGGTGCCGGGTGAAGCTTGCGCCCACACGAAGATCGAGCTCGATACGTGAAGCTACTGCGTTGGCTTGCGCTTCGTCGAGATCGGCGGGACGATGAGCGGCGTGGATGATATGCGTTCTTTCGATGTTGGAGAAATGTGCTCTTACTGTGCCGCCAGCGCGACCCAGAGCCTGGTTGCTTTGTGCTGCCACCGACCGAATCTCGGTGCCTATATGCTCACCTTCGCGGTCGCAGTCGGTCCAGATAAAGAGCACGCCGGCCCGGCGAGCGTGTCGCTTGATGTTGTCCGCGATAGGCTCGCTGTTGCTACCAACGAAAACCTCGATGCGAGCGTCAAAAAGCGCAGATGGGTCGCATGAAGTCCAGCTCTTGTATCGCGGCTCAAACTCGTGGCTGAGGAGGTGGCCGAGCACAGAGGTCATCGTGACACTGCAATGACCCCATTGCCGGAAGGTGTAGTCGAATTCGTAGTTCTTCACATACGGATTGCCTTGGATATTATGCTGCACGTCCATTAGCTCGACTGGCTGATTGCGCGGGTCTGTGCTCACGAACGGTAATCACTCGATCTCCCAAGTGGTTTGCAATTGCTTTCGCAATCGATGGCTTTTCCGCAACGCATAACACCGTCCTCACCTCCATAGCGGATCGTGTGTTTCGCGTTGACACAGATCGGAAAGGCAACGTATATACTACTCCCGAACGACGCGTCTCCGGACGTGCGCAGGCCTAAGGTAAGTAAGTAGCTGTATGCGAAAATGGTGTTAGCGTATCTGGCAAAAGGCCAGTCGACAATGCCATAGGCACTGTCTGTAAGCACCTTTTGTATGAAGATGTAGGCTACTGGGGCAAAAGAGCTCGATCACCACCAGCGCACTGCTGGTAGAAGGGCCGACCAACCGCGGGACCCCCAACAGAAGAATAATATTATTGTCTAAGCTAAGAGTCTTTGAGTTGAGGAGGAAGATGAGGTGAACCTTACCGGAAAAACGTAGGCTTATTATACAACCGGGTTATGGTTGTTCCGCCGTGCCAGTCGCCGACACCGTCGCCGAACCGTAAAATATAATATAATGGTGGATTAGCTGTGGAATCACTGTAAATGAGTTATGAACAGAACAAAATCATCATTGTATTGACAATGTCACTGATTCCTATCTATATAATCACTAATTCTAAAAAACATCTCATTCATCAGAATCATTCTCTATTGAAAATCTGTCATGTCTCTCTGTAATTCCTTCTGAATTCTTCAAATCATCTCTATATCATTGTCATCATTTCCTGTCATATCCACATCAACATTTATTTTGAAGAACTTGTGAATTGACATTGAAGTTTGTGAAGGGTCAGTGCTAATGACTATTCACTGTTTGAGAGAGAGGGTTTCAGAGAGATCAGAAGCTGTGTGTTTATTCATTTATATATATTATTATTAACTTCTGTATAAATCTGGGAATCATTTCACTGATTCTAACTTACTTTTTCACTGAGAATATCAAGAGTTCCAGTGCTACTCATAGTCAGAGAATTAATCAGAGTTGAAAGATTAGAGAAGAAAGAGAGGAAAGAATTAACAGCAGTAGCAGAGATATCAGTAAAAGAGATGAAAAGAGAATTATCACTATTATCAAATTTCTCATTACTGCTACTGCTGTCACTGACTGTAACTGAATTCTTATCAAGATAATCTGTGAGTCTCTGAACATGCTTCATTGTTTTGTACATCTCAATAACAATACAGCTAGCTTTAGTATTGATATTATTTATCAAATTTATAAGATTCTTCATCACTGATTTTTATTCTTCAATATAGCTGACTATCATTCTCAAAAGCTTGCAATACACTTCAAGCTTGATAGTTTTAATATCAAGTTTTATCTTTTTAATCATGATTTTCTTCTTTTCTATGATAACTTTTTTCTTTTTAATTTCTAATTTTACTCTTTTAATATTCAACTTAATCTTCTCAATCTCAATTTTAGCTTTTTCAGCAGCACTGATGATAATATTCAAGACTTTCAGAGTAATAGTAATACTCTTTATATATTCAGCTTTCACTTTCTATCAGTAAGTTTTAACTTTCTTAATCTATTTTAAAAGATTCTTCACTGATTTTAATATAGCTCTTTTTATTATTTTCTTGAAATTATCTAATGCAGAAAGATAAAAGTTATAAATTCAGATTAGATTATTAACTTATTCTTTTAATTCTTCAGAGACAATCACACATTTCTTTTTCTCATAATTACAATTTATACAAGACTTTAAGCTTTTCTTCATCTTATTATAAGCAGCATTCAAATGATAGAGAAAAATATACTCAATACAGTGCTTACACATTGTTTATTTACTGAGCTGCTTTATTAAGATATTTAGACAGCTGCTTGCTTTCTTCTCTTAAGTCTTTGTAACAGCAGCATAGGTATACTTAAAGATATTGTTTATTATTTTAATACTGCTGCTGTTGTTGTTATTGCTGTGATTGATACTAATATAATAAATTACTGATATTCTTGATATACTACACAGACAAGATATCTTGATTAGAACTTTTCTGATTAAAAGCTTTCTATTATAACTGACAGAATACTAATCAGACTGAAGAATGAAGAAGAACAGAATGAGCTGAGTGAGCTGAAAATAATCTTTACAGTGTATTATTGTTGCAAGAAGAAGAAAGAGAAAAAGAAGAAAAAGAAAAATATAAGTCTTTATATATGTTATTAATTCATCTTTGCAGATTATCATGCAATGAATACAAATACTTTCATATTTCATCTCTGAGTGTAATCAGCATATCTGATGAATTTCATTCATATCTTAATACTTTTTGCACAGACTATTACTGATTGAATTACAGCTATTTTAAATATAAAATCATTTCTATTAACTAGAAACAAGTGTTTAATGCACTGCTAGAAATATATCTACAGAATTCAAGATAAATAAGAAGATTTTCTGATGCAGTGAAATCAGTGATTCTGCTGTGACTATAACTATAATCAAATACAAGATAGATGATATGATAACTTTTATCAGTGAATATCAAGACAGATGTATTCTAATGATATATGATAAAGTATATATTAACTAATTTATATATAAAATGCATAGAAAACTA